AAAAAGGGAAGTTATTATGTATGTATGTATATATATATATATATATATATATATATATATATATATATATATATATATATATATATATATATATATATATATATATACAGGGTGGCTCACGCTCAACGGGAAGGAGCTTTATGGGAAAACGACCAAAGATATAAAAAATTCGTTTGGGAGGAATACGTAGGTTACAGACGGCTACAATTTAAAATTTGTTAGATGTATACAGGATGTCCCACATAAATGAAAAAAAATTAGTTCATTAAAAATTATTCAAACAATTAATTTCTGGGAGACTTTTTTTCCTTAAAAATTCAAATAAATCGAAAACTAATAATAATAGTAATAGGGAACCCTTAGTTAACTGACATTATTTTTGATGTAGTTTTTAATTCTAAAATAAAAAACAGGGTGTTCCAATAAAAATAAAAATAACTTTGTATATTTTTTCTTATGTGGGACATTCTGTATACATCTAACAAATTTTAAATTGTAGCCGTCTGTAACCTACGTATTCCTCCCAAACGAATTTGTTATATCTTTGGTCGTTTTCCCATAAAGCTCCGTCCCGTTGAGCGTGAGCCACCCTGTATATATATATATATATATATATATATATATATATATATATATTTTTGGGTGTGCATGTATATTTTTTTTAACTATTGTTCTACGAAGAAATCATTCTCATTTATATAGACAAATTTGCAAACATTGCAATAATTGTTTAATAGATTCAAACTAAATCAATTAGTAAATAAAAAGTTTAACAAGAAAATATGTTTTTATGCCTTTCATAATTATAGTTTTATTTAAAAAAAAAGGGAAGTATGTATTTAAAAAATAGTATTTTCACTATTTGAATATATATTGCTCCAGAAAGAGAATTAAAAATAATTATCTAGTTATTAATTTTTAATAATAATAAATTACCACACATAAATTAAAAATATGTAAACCAATATGTTTCAATTTTGAGAGAAAAATGCAAAGAAATTTAAAAACATACCGATCCTTTGGCAATGTAGTCTTGAAAATGTTTTCTAAATATAAGCCTTGCTCCACACTTAGGAAAAATTGTTTGAATAGTGAATTCATCCAAAAGTGGAAAACTATTATCATCAATTCCTTCCTCTAAAATAAAAAATAAATTACTGATTTTTTCACCAAAAATTACTTGTTAAAAAACTCAAAATTGTCCTCTATTAATTACCTTCAAATTTATCTACATGGGACTCTAAACCCCACTCTATGAGTTTCAACTTATATGCCATACTGTATGTTTCCCCGTTTTTTCTAAAAGTCAAACAAGTATAAATGGAAACACAGATAAAAATTATTTACCTAAGTCTAAGTATAAAGGTAGTTTTTATGTTTTCGTCTATCTGAATGAAAACTGTAATTATCTCATATAAAGTAAGTTACTTTTTATAACTGTGCAGTTCTTTTATTATAGTTGGGATAAAAATAAGACAGATCAGATTTTATTTTTTTTTTGTGGTCAAACTGAGAGTTATAAAAATTTACAAAGATAAAAAAAATATTTCTAAAAATATTAACTAAAAAAATATGTCTTCAGCGTAGGCTCTAAAAAGTTACCACCAAATTTGTATTGCGAAATTCTTGTTTAATATACTTACTAATGAAGACTAAAATCATCTCAGAATGTGACATATAGTGATAGAACATGGCAGCAAAAAATTATAAAAATCGATTACAGCCTACTCCTTTTATGCCCAAAATTATTATTTTTTTTATATTTTTAGGCGGCTATCACAAAGAATGACATTTTACGGATCTATTAACGTCCCTAAAATATCACTTTTTTGGCCGCTTTTTATAAATACAAGTTTATCATATTTATTTTAAAATCGTTGATGGTGCGTCACTTGATTATAACTCTGTGGAAGCACATAGTTGTGAGCAATTTAAAAGGTAATTGAATAGTTTTTCATGGTCATGGACGTCCTTCATAAGGGAAAAATGTGTTGTGATTGAAAGGTTATAGGTATCAATACATATTTACTGTGTAAAAAATCTGATGTGTCCAACACATGACTTTCCTATCTATAGTTATTACAAGCTTTTTTCGGTTATTTTGTACAACCTATTGTAGCACCTCTGTAAATGATTAGAGGATAAACTAAATATATACATTTTCCACATACTTCTAATTCGAAACATTTTTTTTACATTTGCCAACGAAAATACTAAAAAATTAAAATTTTACTCTTTTCGTCCAATTTTTCCATTACGGTGCATTTTAGAGAAATCATGTATAAAACAAAACTTATGGAGTTTGATATCGCAAACAACTTTTTAACAATTTTCTTAAAAATCAGAATTTTGCACATCTTGTCAAATTTCTCGATTACGGTCCATTTTTAGGACAATTGTGTATGGAACAAAAATAATATAAAATTATATCAAAAACAACTTTTATTTAAACAATTTTCTTAAGAAATTGAATTTTTTACATTTGTCAAATTTCTCGAATACGGACCATTTTAGGAAATTTTTGTATGGAACAAAAATTTTAGAGAATAATATTAGAAGTAACTTTTATCTAAAGTATTTTCTTCTGGAATAGTAAATAACAGATATATTTTATAAAATATAAAAATGACCACGCATAAAGTACCCTCCCAGAAGTTCCGACTCTGCCCAAAATCTAATCAGTTCACCGCAGGCCGGAATAAAGCTTAAGTGTGAAATTTGGTGTTTTTCTTTGTATCGGTTCATGAGTTATGGTGGATATATACACACACACACACACACGCGCGCGCGCGCCCACACACACACACGCGCGCGCGCCCACACACACACACACACGCACACCCGCACGCACGCACACGCACACACACGCACTCACACACGCACGCACACACACGCGCACGCACGCACGCACGCACACACACGCACACGCATACGCACACGCACACACACACACACACACACCCACACGCACCCACGCACACACACGCACGCACACACACGCACACACACGCGCACACACGCGCACACGCACACACACACACGCACGCACACACACACACGCACACACACATGCACACGCACACACGCACGCACACACGCACGCACACACACGCACACACACGCACGCACACACGCACGCGCACACACACACGCACACACACGCGCACACACACGCGCACACACACGCGCACACACACGCGCACATACACACGCGCTCACACGCACACACACGCACGCACAAAATCATGATTCCTATACTTTCCTTATCTGTATACAAATAGGAAAGTAATAAAAGTTAATCACGAGTTTAATTAATAACAGACATTATTTAATATTTTGAGGATCAACCTAACATTTTTAATCATATTACTATGTCTATCGAAGTAGTATATTTAATATTAAAAAAATATACCAGATAATAAACTAAAAATACATTTTTTAGGAAAAAAAAAAATACTAAAAAATAATATACCTGTCGACCCTGTAGTTATATCACTTAGACCACATTTTTTCACCTATAAGGCACATTTTGAGTATGTTTTAATATGTAATTTGATTTTATACTTTTTTTACGATATTGCAGGCAAAGCTTTGAAAAATTTATAATATAATATATATTGCCTCTATGATTTATTTCGTGCGTTACTTCTACATAATATGCCTACTTCATAACACCGCTCTGTTCTTCCTTTTTGTACAGATAGGTAACATAATTAAGTATAATTGATTGCAAAAAAATTATTTTTCAATTAAGACACTTATTACTTTATTTTTGTTTTCCTTTTTTTAAATAAATATTAATATTTATCGATTATAATTTTTTTCACTGGGTATTTTAACATGCTTGTTTATAAAAAACTACGAAAAAGATGGCCGATACTGAGGCATGCGCACAATTTTTTTTTGATGAAAAGGCCTATTGTAACTCAGAATTATAAATTATTTGACTGCCACTTTTACCTATTAGATTATTATAATAACAGAATAAGTGGTAAAATGAAGAGGTGATAGACGAGACGCCGTTAAATGCATTCATTTTACCAATGTCGAACTTTCTACATGCCGATAACACTAGCAGATTTTTAAAGCAAAAATAATTATGCATTTTTATTTAAATTTTACCAAATGTAGCTTGTACTTACTTGTATGTATGAAGTTCTAATTTTTCACTATAGCACGAAAAACCAAAATTAAGAAACACGTGTACCGTTTACTCCAAAAAATGATTTGCTAATGAAAAGAACAAACAAAAACAAATGCAGATTAGCAGGAAGGAAACAGAAACCGATGTCGGCGTTGAGGATACGATCATTGACCGATGATGGGCGATTGCTTGCTTAAAACAACAGCGTTGTCAGAACGATTATATCAATTTCTCTAAGTATACAATAAAAACCCCCAAAATCGTAAAAAATTATAATAAAAAAATAAAAAATAATAAAAATAAACTATTGTCATGCAATTTGTGATATATAAATATTTAATTTAATTTAATAAACATGGACAATTCAATAGAAAAATCCTCAAAACTTTAATAAAAGTTGATAAAACAATAAATTTACATTTGTAATGTGTTTCACACAGGCGAGGCGCAAAATTAAATGCCCCTAATAAATAATCTCTAAAAGCCGCTTTTCACGGAGCAATTTTGTTGCAAGTTTCATGCTATGCAAGTTTGCTGAAAGAAATTTGTAATTACTGCGCATGCCTACGGGCATGTTTGATGAAAGTTTCATGCCATAAAATAAATAGAACTTGTTCTATTTTTTGATAGTTTCCGTGCAAGTTTGACTCATTTTTATAGTGATTTTTGATATACCAACCTGAAAAAAAGTTACCAATGTTACCATTTTGTTTACTCTATTTCCTGTTTCATCTCCGCATCAACTGTTAATGGAAAAGTTTTTATATAAATCTACAGCGAACAAATTTACAATTTAAAACGCATCATTTAAGTTACAGGCTTTGTTATTGTTTGTCAGAGGTTATAATATTTAATCATGTCAACAAAATCGAAAAGGTAAAGAAATTAATAACTGTGACTAATAGGTTAGGTTATTAAAATGGGTACTTTTAATATATATATTTACCAAATATTTAGTTTTATACTAAGTATAGTGGTTTAAAAGACGCGGATTTATTTATTACTCCGCATATTTAAATATTTATTTTAATAAAAACAAATTATGTTGTGATTTACCTTATTTTTATTTTTTTTTTAGTAAAAAACCACAAGTTTGGACTACGGAAAGTGCAAAGCACCTTATCTTTTTGTATGAAAACTTTCCGTGTCTATATGATATTAAAAGAAAAGATTACCACAATAGAAATGAAAGGCAAAAGGCGCTTCAATACATTTTAAAAGAAATGACTGACAAGTATCCAAGTATGAAACTTTCACTAGATCAAGTAAAAACCAAAATTCATGGAATTCGTTCTCAGTATATTGCTGAATTAAATAAAATTAAAAAATCTGAGTCGACAGGTGTATCTCCAGATGATTTGTACACTCCCAAGCTTTGGTGTTTTGAAATGCTGGGATTCCTTTCTGATTCAGCTGTCATTACTTCTAGAGGAGAGTCTAATTTAAATTTGGAGGAAGTTCTTAAAGACCTTAAGGATTTATCCCAGGTTTATATAGAAGAGGAAGACACACAGCAAGATGAAGAAACACAGCAAGATGAAGAAACACAGCAAGATGAAGACACCCAGCAAGATGAAGATGAGGTATGTTACCAAATATTTGAAGAAGTAAATGAAATGGAGTCAGAAATGAGTTTTGACCAAGATGTCAGTGATGTTTCCGTTCCCTTTTCTCCTCCCTTATCGCGACCATCCTGTTCTACATCCCGAACACCAGCTTTAGTGTTCCGTCCTTCATCCCAACAATCCTTTTCAAAACAAAGAACTATACCTGAGTCCCAAACACCCAAATCTATTTTAAAACATAAAGATAATATAATTAAAAAAAAGAAAGATGAAGATATTATAATTAAAAAAAAGAAAGAGGAAGAAGATGAATTAAAAAATCTACTAAAGGTTACTGGACAAGTAATTGCGAGTCAAAGAAGAGTAGCTCCTGACACACAAAAACCCTCAGAAAACCTTTTTTGCCAATATTTGGCAGCAGAAATGTCCAAGATTCAGGATGAAGATATATTGGATGATCTTAAAGAAAATATATCTGCTCAGTTGTTCCAAGCAAAAAAAAAATATAAATCTGCTAAAAAATAGATTTTATAAAATTATATTACTTTTCAACTAACATAAATTTAATTATAAAAAAATAAATCCTTGTTTTAATTTAATTAAATAATTTCATTTTGCCATGATACAGTCCCAACCGTATTAAAATACTCTTTATACTCTTCTCTGTTATTTATTGCAATTTTCTTAGGTCTGTTCCCTGCTTGAGCACTTAAACCATTGAGTAAGGTGAATTTTCTGTCTATTTCATTTTCAGGGTCAGCTCCCGTGTACTTATTTTGAAGTTCGTGTCTCAAAAAATTATGTAATGTACAGCAGGTCTTTGTTATTATTTTTACTTTTTGTGGCTTTAAAGCATTTACATTTAATAAAACTCGAAACCTATTAGCTAAAATTCCAAATGCATTTTCAACCACTCTTCGAGCTCTGCTCAAACGGTAGTTGAAAATTCTTTGTTCCTTAGTTATATTTCTTAATGGATAGGGTTTTAAAATGTGTTCACTTAAGGGAAATGCAGAGTCGGCTACAATGACAAAGGGTATTTTTTTTTCTCTGGAAGGAAGATTTCTGTCTTCGGGAAAGTTAAGAGCATTTTTATCGATGGCTTGGCTTAAATCACTATCTCTCAAAATTCCACCATCCGACATACGGCCATTTACACCAACATTGATGTATAGAAAATTATATTGAGCATCAACTAGAGCTAGTAGCACAATACTATGCCCACCCTTATAATTATAGTATGTGGATCCTTCTTGAGATTGGGCTTTAATTAATATATGCTTTCCATCCAAAGCCCCTAGACAGTTTGGATAATTCCAGTGGTCCTCAAATTGCCTAGCTATTTCTAACCATTCAGTTGTTGTATTTGGAACCTTACAAAAATAAAGAAATTTATAATCACAGTTGTAATGCAATATAAGGAATACTCACCTTTAGGTAGTCTGCTTTAAGTTCCTCAAAAATTGCAATACATACTATTGGTATAAAATTTGATATTGCTGTAAGCGATACTCTATAATTATATTGCAATGATGTAAAAGATTCTCCAGTAGCAAGATATCTTAGTGTGATGATAAGTTTATCTTTCGCAGGAATACATTCTCGCATATTGGTATTTTCTTTGGTAATTCTATGCTCTATTTTTTTTAATAATTTAATAAAAGTGGCCTCATTCATACGTAGAAAATTTTTAAAGCTTTTGATATCACTACAATCCTTAAACTCATTAACAATATTTAAATTTCCAAGTCTTCTATCCAGCCAAGGTTTCACCCAATGTGCTTTTGGCTTTCTTTTCTTGCGATTTGTCCTATTTCTACTGACTAATACACTTGCAATTGCGCATGTTAATAATAATAGATCAATTTGTGGAGGTGACATTACGAAAAAATACAATTATCAATAAACAAAAAAAGTGAGTTAAGTTTTACCAACAGAAAACAGAAGTCAAAATATTTGGGTTGGCAGAATTGTTTAAATAAGCAATATATCCCAACAAACTTGCACCATGAAAATGAAACGATTTTATAAATATGGTGCAATTTGGCCTTCTGCAAGATATGGCCGCAAACTTGCATAGCATGAAACTTGCAACAAAATTGCGCCGTGAAAAGCGGCCTTAAGAAAGTAGCTCCCAGATTTAACCTAAACTGATAAAAAACTACACAAATTTGGGGAAAAATCCCCCAATCTGGCAACCTTGTAAGACGATATGCCGTGAGTCGTGTTAAAACGTTTGGCGCTTTTTCTCCTTAACCAATAAAAAGTAAAGCCTTGGAATTCAAATAGCCGTTATGTTTCATTAATTTAAATGATAGCTGTTTAACGAGAACAATATGAAATTTAACATTGACATGGTCATCTTTTAAGGGTTAAAATATATATTTTTCAACTTCATCTTTTAACTACAATCGTGTTACTTATTGCAGTTATGAAGTAACTTTATTAAAACAAAAGGGTTGATTTGAAAAAAATACCTTTTTTATGATGAAAAGTTTTTTTGTAACTGTAATCCGAAAAATTTTAATGGCTACAATATTTTTTTTCACAGTTATATGATTTTTTTGAAAAAAAACTCTATTCACCTGATTTTTCTCGGTGCAGGGGCATTTCGTATTACAATATGTTTTCCATCTGAAGCCCCACAACAGTTAGAAAAATTCTATCGAAAGTAAAATTCCCTTTGAATTTGCTTCCAGTCTTCTTCATTTTTTGGCACCGGTAACCAAAAAAATTGATTTAACATTTTGTTCATATTTATTTGTTACTAAAATGTAAAGTATTTTAATAAAACTCTTTTTTCTTTTAGGACTTACAACATGATGAAGATAAAAGCGTTTGCAGATTCTAACGAGACAGTCTCAATATCAGTATTATTAATCTCCATCCCCGCCGCATTCAAGCAACATGAATGAAGAAGGGTCATCTTCAAATCAATCATTCAACAGATAATACGGAGAGGAGACGCAACTTACTAAATGCCTAGAGGATTCGCAAGGGTCAAATAATACTCAAACAGCTCCAGACGATTCGCAAGATACACCAGCACCTCTAAACATTTCGAATTCGATACATACTAAAGCTTTAAGAGGTCTCTTAGATTTAGAGCAGATAGTTTAAATGTTGTATTACTTAAATTTAATAAATACCTTTACTTACTTTAATATAATCTTGTAACGCACTGTATATTGCCGCACACACTTCTCCCATCAAATTTGAAATGGTGTTTTTATGAACTTGGTATGCGAAAGCAAGGGTTGCAAATTAATCTCCCGTAGCTAAATATCTTAAAGTTATTTGCAACTGTAATCTTGGTTATATTGCTTGACGCATCACTGTATTTTGTTTTTTAATGCGATCCTTAATTTTTGAGAGCAGTTCTTTGAATTTCTCTTCAAACATTCGTAAATGATTTCTATATCTATACCCTTCTTTGTCCTCTAAAGCCAGCTCCCTTAGCAAGGCTTCTGATGTTCCCAACTATTTATTACCATTTTAAAATTCATCCTGAAGAAAAATTTGAATTTAAATGTACAAGAAGTGTTTTGCTAGCTCAAAACTAGAGATTAATGTTTTAATGCCACTGTAAGCCGGAGAGTGGCATGGATTCTTAAGGAGAAATTTAATATGCTAGTGTGACCAAATAATAACAATGAGTAAGTATTGTTTTCCTTTAATTTGTACAATAAGTAGGTAGATAGTGATAATGATAAAACCCCAATTGTATTTAACAAATACCTATAGGTAATGAATCCCCCTTTGTAGTACTACCAAGGTTCACAGGTTTTAAATATATAATATGGTCACTATTTAATTAAATGTTATTTCTCTTGCAGGTTATATGGCAGCTATTATTCAATGAAACTATCAATATAAAATTGGAAAGCTCTTACTTGGCGATATCGGTTGCTAGCGGCGTCCACAGCTACAATAGCTATGTTATAATACTCGCAGTCCAAGTGCTGGTAAAGGAAGAGTGGGTTCCAGCCACCAATCCAATATACAGCGCGTGAGTGGTACTTTATACGAGACTTAGTGAGGTGCTCTATAGTGAAAGTAGTAATCTGCTCTACGAGTAGCACTAAATAATATCTGGTAATACTAGATCGCACTAATACCTCGCACAAATACCTCACAGTTCGACATGTTCTTAAAAAATTAATTCGTCCACTGTATTTTAAAACTGCACTCGACCGTCCGGTTTAAACCAAAATAAACACTTATTATCTAACAGCCGTTTGCACCGATTGTAGTTAAGATTTAGTTAAATTTTAATTACCGATTAAAGTCAAACACCCGTTGCACCGCATGTTTTAACAGTAAATTAAGGTTTAATTAATAGTTAAAGATAACTCGCAGACAAGGCAGAGTTTAAAACGTTTGACAGAAGTATTTGAGGTTAGGTCGTTATTGTGTCTATGTGTTTACTGTATTAACATTTTTCTTTTGAAAATAGTTAAAATAGGTAATTGTAATGGATTTGGAAAATATTTTTTTAAATGATTTTGAAGAAGAAGACGAAGATGATCTAGCTATCCTAGATATAATAAACTTCGGAATTCCAAGAAACATTAATGAGAGACAAAATTACTTTGATACAATGGATGCAGCAACATTTAGAAAAAAATTTCGTTTGTCCAAAGAAGCAGTGCGAAATGTTTTATTGGAAATAGAGGATGAATTAGAATATCCTTTTGATTTGTAATTAAAACAAAATTTAAATATTGTGTGACACAAGGGTTATAAATTTTATTTTGTAGGAATAATTGTGTCTCTCCAATTAATCAATTGCTTACACTATTGAGGTTATTTGCTACTGGCGGACATTTAGATGCAGTGGCAGATTTTGCTGGGATGCATACATCAACCGTTTCCAGAATTATAGTGAGAGTATCTGAAGCAATAGCTAGACTTGCTCCTAATTATATATCAATGACAAATAATATGGATGACATACTGAAAACCCAAGAAGACTTTTTTGATGTAGCACGTTTTCCAAAAGTTATTGGTGCAATCGATTGTTCCCATTTCAGAATACTTTCACCAGGTATTTTGAATGTTTTAAAGTAAATGAAAAATGTAATTAATGTTTGTTTAGGTGGACCAGATGCAGAAATTTATAGAAACAGAAAAAATTACTTTTCTATTAATGCCCAATTTATATGTAATGCAGAAATGAAAATAATGAATGTAGTAGCAAGATGGCCTGGAAGTGCACATGATTCGACAATTTTTAATAATAGTAATGTCAGGAGAGACTTTGAAAATAATAGATATAGAGGTTGTTACTTGGTAGGTATGTATGGGTATCACAGTTTTTAAGACATAAAAATAATGAGTTATTATTTCAGGAGATAGTGGATATGGTAGCTACAGATCCTATTTAATGACGCCACTGTTGAATCCTGCTACACAAGCTGAGCAACTATATAATGAAAGCCAAATCCGTACAAGAAATGTCATTGAAAGGCTTTTTGGGGTCATCAAAAGGCGTTTTCCCATATTAGCTTATGGGTGCAGACTAA